TTTCTTTGAAGTAGGGATTCTTTCCTTATTTTTGCTCTTTGTAATTGTACTTTTGGAGTTTATCTCCTTATATTAATGAAAATTTGTTGTTGACATGTTAAAAAAAAAAAAGAATGATGCGGAACTAATAATTCCAAAGCAAGTGTATTTTAAAAAATTTAAAAATTATGAAAAGGGACGTGAGCGTAAAATGTAAAATATGTAAGAGTTTTTAAATACTGCTGATTATAAGGGATATTGCCATAATTTCCCCCGAAAATTTTGAGCAATAAATATCATTAATCTCATCACATATGGCCCCACTCATTTGTGTTGCATGGGTGCATGGATGACCCAAATGGTACATACATGTACCTATTGGAGTCCATCTCAACCATCTATTATAATAATTGAACAACTTTTCTTTATAGTAAAGTACGTGATAAGGATATTATTGCACCCAAAAGTCGGTCTTTTGGTCATCTTTGTTTATATTTCATATCATTCGTTTTATTTTATTTTTTAATAATATTATGAAATTTTATTACTCAAAAAGAATTACAAACAGATTATACATGAAGAAGCTCATCTACCACAGTTATCTCATCCAAAGTGATCCCGAATTTTGCCAATCCATCCGCTCTATCATTCGCATCCCAATATACATGTTTGAAAGAGATGGTTAGTCCTTGGCACAAATCCACAATCTCAACCCAAAGTTAATAATTCTTCATGGTGATTTTGTAATTTTGTTGCCCCAATTGATAACATTATGTGAGTCACCCTCCACCAAAACTGAAAACCCCATAAACTTCTCCCTAATACATCTCAAGTCTTGTGATATATCACGAAACTCCGCTTCATTTGATGTTGCTACCCCACAAGGCCTTGCATAAGAGAGAAGAATAGCCCAACTCGAACCCCTTAGGACTCCACCAAAACCAGCTGGTCCTGGATTTCCAAAAGAGCTACAATCAAAATTTAGCTTTATACAACCTTTCGTTGGGGGATGCCACCTACCCTTAAGCTTAAGCTTTCATGTTTTATTTGTGACTACACTCTTCAGATTCACCCATATGTCTACCTTAGCAATATGTCTTCCTTCACTCGATATCGAGAACCAATTCCAAACTCCATATATAATTCTCTCTTTAAATTTCCATCATACCACGGATTGTCCCATCAAAGGTTCTACAGTTTCTTTCCCCTCCAAACTTCTCACAAAATAGCTACTCCAATATCATCCTTACAATCCAGCCACATTTTGGTATTCTAAGAACATCCATTTGATACAAAAGCTCTCCATGATTTCTCAGCATCACCATTTGAATTTCCATAATAACAAAGCCTGATCCTAAACAGCTCATGTAAAAGAGCAATGTAACAAGTGGTCACAATTTTCTTCATCCTCTTTACATAGCAGACAAATATTTACCATCCTCGCCCTTTCTTATGTAGATGATCCACAGTTAGAGTTTTCCCTTGAAGGAGGATCCATAAAAAAAGCTTGAATCCCATTAAAAAAATGGAACGTCTCTATACCTATCGTTATACAGCAGTCTATAGGTTGATCTAACCAAAAAGACACCATCATTCTTAACCTCCCATATCAGCTCATCTTCTAAATCCCTCACAATATACACCAAGTTTAAATCATGTAGTAAAGCTGCAAATTGCTCACCCACAATATTTAGCACCCCACCATAAAGAAATGGAAAGTACCAAACTTGACTATTATTCACAATAGAGCAACATTCCGTCACCTTAGCTGCTTGGACCACCATTCTTGTATACACCTACTGAAAAGCCAGCTTCAAAGTGTTATTTTCAATCCATTTGTGATGCCATAATCTGATATTCGCTCCATTTCCAATCTCCCACCTTACATCTTGTGTTATACCTCTTTAACTCTCACCATACCCTACCAAAAATTTGAGGCTTGAACTCTTCTCATTGTAGAGTACGATATAATGGAGTCTCTTGCAGCCCCATACTTCTCTCTTATCACTGAATTTTAAATTTGATCTTCATAATGTAATGTTCTCCACCACAACTTGGCCAACAAAGCTCGATTGACCAATGTCCTAATCCCCAAACCTCCCTTCACTTTGGGTGCACAAATGTTATTTCAGCTCACCAGATGATAATTCTTTTTTACTATCCACATTCCTCCAAATGAAATTCCTCATCAATTTTTCAATAGGTTTGCACACTGATACAGGCATAATCAGTAATGACATCCAAAAAATCAGAAGATTAGTTGAACAAGATCTTACCAAAGTGATATGCCCTCTCAAAGAAAGCACCTTACTCTTTCACAAGTCAAGTTTCACATAAACTCTCTTTAGGAACGGATCTCAAACTGCTTTTCATAACCTAGCATATTAGATAGGCATACCAAGATATGGAAAAAGTATCAATCTTACAACCAACCTCTTTAGCTAAAACTTCAACCAAATTTCTATCACAATTAATTCCAACTAGTGAGGTCCTCTTGAAATTCACCTTCAGGCCCAGAACTTCCTCATAACACGTAAATATTTTGATAATGTAAGCTACTTCTTCCACCTTGGTATCACAAAAGACCAAAGTATCATCTGCATATTGTAAATGTGTTATTGCCCTACTAGCTGCAGACACTTCAAAACCATTTAACCTACCTAAACCTTCAACTTTCAAAAATAATTTTGTTAAAAGAGATAGAGGATCTCCTTGTCTTAAATCCCTACTCGTTGCAAAGTAATCTTTAGAAGAGTCATTAACCAAGACTTAAAAATGCGTAGAAGATAAGCAACCGCAAATCCACCTTCTCCAATTAAGACCGAATCCCGTACATTTCATAATCTTCAATAAAACTTGTCATTCTACTCTATCATAAGTTTTTTCCATATCAAACTTTATCAAGACCCCGGCCTAACCATCCACCACTCTATAATGAATGCATTCTTGTATAAACAAAACACTATCTGTGACAAACCTATTCTTCACAAAACTTGATTGGGGCACTTTGAATGAAAGGTAAAACCAATTTTAATCTCTTAGATGAAACCTTTTCTAAGATCTTATATATACTGCTCAACAACCTGATTGGCCTCAAATCAGCAATGCAAGAGATTATTTCGTTCTTGGGAATCAAAGCAATGCATACTGAATTGATACAACATCCTGCAATACTACTTTCCATAAACTCTACCACCAATGCAAGTAGCTCACATTTAATGACATCCCATAATTTATGGAAGAATGCAAGTGGAAAACCATCAGGGAAATGGCGATTTAAATCCAGGCAAGGAAAAGACAGCACGCTTTAGCACCTCCATTGATATAAGCTTTTCCAAAAATTAGCTTGAGCTTGAGCCAGTTTATTAAAGGGTATGCCATTGAGACTCGAAAACTCCTGAAAAATGTTTTACAAACTCCGACTCCAAACCTTCCAAATCATCATCCGTAACACCCTGAAACTAAATGGATGAAATATCATTTTGGCGGTGACAAGCACTAGCATTTCATCCTCGCACGAGACAGTGTTCAATTCCCTTTAAAGGTTTTCTCTAAATAGCATTTAATCTGAAAAATTTTTAATCCTGCCAATCTTTTCAGAACCGACCCTTTCCATGGGGAGGAATTACACACAGGTAATGCGTGGTGCATATAAAGACATCTTGCTGATTTTCACCAAAAAGAATTTGGATATTGAGATTTTTAATACGAGGACCTAACCCTCCGAAAAATGGGCAGTCTTTGATTTTTCTCTTTATTTCTCTTTTTTTTAAGGTTGATTGCTACGTCGAGTATGTCACATCTCCAAATCTTGGGGTCCTAGAAGTATTCTTCAATTGGATTTTACTTGAAAGAGTGAAAGCACAAATTTTCATATTTGCGCTCCCATATTAGAATCTAAAATGCCCTTTTATATTTAACAACTTACTAGTTTATAGCGAGAACATCAAATTCACATTACAACATATTCATACGTATTTAAAATGCTTACATTGCGAATATTTTCCTCGCATATGCACAAGAGTTTCGACAAAAAATAAATTATAAATTTCCGTTCAACTATAAGCTTTTAATAATAGGATTGCATGCCATGAGCCCATTTATTTTTGGTACGAGGTCAAAATCACCTCTTAGATGTGAAATCCAATAAATGAAAGTATATCACAATATTATAGGAAAATTTTAATTTAGACTCTGCGTGCTCAAAACACATCCTCAACCCCCCAATTTCAAATCTAACCGTCAATGAAAATTGCGACCTCCTTGTATCAAAATAAATCGTCTCCTTAATAATATATCAATTTTACCTAAAAAAAATTGAGTTAAAACATGCAAGTGCACATTCTACCGCTAGAATATACATTGAAAACAACAGAGAAGACACTACACTTCGTTGGTATTTTGATCTCGGTGCTATTGCTGCAAATGTCTCTCTCTCTCTCTCTCTCTCTCTCTCTCTCTCTCTGTGGATGCTTTCTGCTTTATCTATGTGTTCTTCGGGCTCGAAGAAATAAATTTTCCCTTGGAGATCAGCTCTTCCCTCATGAAATCGATCACAGGAGATTGCTTGTATAGTATGCTCCCTGACCAAAATCAAGAGCTTTTCACATGTCGAACTGAGAGGTAGCATCCCAAAATCCAGTCTCATAGAAACACCCTTAACCAAGGATTTGCCTGCCTTATGGATTAAATGTACAAGTGCTCCCCCGAACCAAGGATTTGCCTGCCTGAGGGATTAAATGTACAAGTGCCCCCCCAGTAGTATATGAACGTATCCAAACATTTTATCTTACAAGCAAGCCTTAGGCAAAGCATCTCAAGTTGTCCCATAATGCTCTTCCAAAAGAGGTTATACCATTTCGCATTATCCAAATAATCCTCGAATTTCCTCGGTTTCATGGACCCTCACCTTGAAACCAGTTCTCCATTTTCTGCTCTCACAACTAACAGCAAATTGAACAAAAACAAGGCCACCCAAAGATTAAACTTAAAAGCCGTAACACACAAATAACCAACAAGAATAAGAAAAGGAAACAAATACACACACATAGGAAGGTGACAAGCCATGGAGCAATCATGGACTACCACTGAAAATTGCGAAAATCGTCAGAGAAAAATTACAAAATCTTGAAAAAACAAAACAGTCAGCCTTCAAAGACAGACAATGGAAAAACCTAATAAATAATTTCCGCATTTAAATTTCTCTTCCTTCTCATGCGGACTTGGCTTCAGGCTTGGGCTTAATCTTTTTCACCCTTGAGTACAAGAAAACCCCAGCCAGCGCAATGCCCGTCCCTGAAATACATGAAGCAAATCATATTGAAACCATGAAAACCATAATATAAATTGATAGTAGTAAATGGAAGTGTTTTATGCTAACAATTTTGTTTTCCACAGTTTTGTAGCACCTTCCCAACCGTCAATGTAAAAAATGGAAGATTAAGGACTTCCGCTCCTCTGTTCAAAGTCTGTGGCCGGATAAAAATGAGAAACTTTGAGCGAAAGAACACACCCCAAAAATGTGTTGTTTACATCGTTCATATAGGACAGTTGGGAAGTGTTAGCAAACTGTGGGAAACCCATGTGATATGCAATCAACAACAACAACAATAAATGGATGCCCATATTTTCTTAATTAACAATTAAAAACTTATATTAGACAAGTAACTGAAAATTAAAGGCAAATAAATTCCGAGGGATTACCGACTATTTTGGGTGGACAATCAAGAAAATGGGTGGTGCCAAACTCGGCCCCCATTCTAAACATCATGAAATCTTGTTCTCGGGAGATTTATACAGCCTACGGGGATTATGCAAGGGGTTTATAGTATGAAACAAATAGAGAAATTTTTCCCTATTTATGAACATAAAGCGATAACTATTTATGAACATAAAGCAATAACCATAACCACAATAATTTTCCCTATTTATGAACATAAAGCAATAACCATACCTAAAATAATCAAATACCAATTCCGAACCCTGTAGAAGAGAATAGGCATTATTATGGGAGAGGAGCGAGTAAGACTTACCCAAAGAATTGATGGGGGAGACTGGTGTTTTGAAGAAAAGAACTGAAGAAACAATGACCACCACCCTCTTCACACAGTTGCCAACAGAATGCGTGACAGGCGAGACCCTGGCAAGGATCATGTAGGAAACCTGCACATGAATATATCCATTAAGCATATAAAAAGCAATGAGAAATATCATTTCACAAACACACCCACTAACATACACACACGAAGGAGCACAGGAGATATACCTGCTGGTAAGCATGAAAACATAGCCCTGCCAAGAGAGACCTCTGGATTACCTGTTCTACATTCAAACCCTGCAACAGGACAAGTAAATGGAGTCATTTACAAAAAAAGAAAAAGAGAGGAGAAACAAGAAGAGATCAATGGAGTTGACTTTTAGCTATAACTTACAGCCAATTCCATGTATGATGGAGTAAACTTGATGCCTTCAGTGAAGACAGTCACAGGTGCTAACATGATGAGTGACATGATAGTGATTATCGAGAAGAGAGTTATGTTGTCCAGAGATTCCTGATACACACCAAATAACTACTTAAAAACCGTATTAACTTTCCACAATAGGCTAGTTGTTTGTTTGGCAATGAAAAAATACAGAAATAACTTTGCACATATACAATAATAATAACCACGTTAACTGTATTTATCTACAATATTCCACCTAGAGACATGAAAAAAATGGATCACCTCTTTCTTGAGCATGAATTTCTTGCTAAGAACATTGCGGGATTGGTTCGTGAGGTTGGAAGCCATAGCACTCCAAAACCCGGCCCTGCAACCCAAAAAAGAAACAGAGTCCAAAATCAGGAGCAACCAACCACAACCATAATTGGCAGATCGTGCCATCGTGAAATATAATAACTCACACATTTTAGTGTGATATAAAGAATTTGAAGAGGACAAATGTGCCTGCTAATTATTAAGAGGGGTCTAAATTATTCTCATTCTCCCAATGCAGTAGCCGTTGGAGGGATACAACACATAAGAACAGAAAGACCCAAAACCCCAATATAGATGGCTGTGAAAAAGACCATATTTTATGAGGAAACAGGTTAGTCTGCCTCCCAGAAAACCTGTCAGTTGCTGCGAAGGAGACAATGCATACGAGGAGCCCTGTGGCATTAGTACGGTCCTTACTACATTCTTTGAAAAACTCTTCCCCACATCTAGTAAAGCGAGGCTTAGAATTGTTAACCTCCCACCCCAGCCTCCACCTAGAAAGCAATTTTCCTTCTTTTTTGACAAGGTGTACACAGGAATGGAGCTTTAGATGTAGTGCTATAAAAACCCAGCTGCTACCACCTTGACCCAAGCTCTATTCCTCCTAGAAAGCAATTAGTGAGGCTCGAGAGACAATTTACTCAAAATGAGATTTGTGGGACAAGACAAGGGCAGGCCCTGATGGCCATCTTATCACCTTGTTCCATAAGTGTCTTGGAAGATGTGGGTAGAGGGAGCCTAAAAAAGCAAAGGCCGAGCTGTAGGTCACGTGACCTGCATTGAAATGTGGCTGACTTGGGTTTCTCCTGGATCAAAGTGGATCAGCTCGCCCCATTGGTCGGTCGAATCAGGAGGCACTATTGTCTCGTGTTTTTCTTGGAAAATTTCATAGAGGGATCATTAGCACAGGGTTGAACGCCACATTCATAGCACAGGTTCTTAAGCTGGAGGGGGCAGAAGTGCTAGAACATCTTAGGCCTATAAGTTAAATAAACATTTCTTATAAGGGAAATCTTCATAAATATCCCTTTTTTGGGACTATTTAAAAAATGTCCCTATATTTTGAATTTTACACTCGCCCTATTTTTTATTTTTTTTGCTATTCCCAAAACGCCCGTGTTGAAACTCCAAGTTTTGACCTGGACTTTTTCTTTGTTGTTTTTTTTTCCAGTTTCTGACCTGAATTTTTTATTAAAAAAACAAAAAGGGTAGTAGAATGAAGTGCCCGACCTAGTCATTCAAAAACAAAAAAAGAGGAGGGGGGGAGGGAGTACAAGTTTTAAAACTGGATCAGATCTTCATGTTCCAACAACCTTTTTTACAAAGTGTAAGAAACCGGTTGGGAAGTTGGAGAACCAATCTGTTCATTCAAAAAAATATAGGTATTTAATACCTATCAGAATTTCATGTTCCCACCTGTTTTTTTTTAATTAAAAAACGAAAAAATCAATGCAAGAAACAGGGTTGGAAGTCAGAGATCCGAACCAGTCTTTCAAAAAGAAATAACAAGTTTTTAAGACTAGATCTGAATTACATGTTCCAACCTGTTCTTTTTTCTTTTTTTTGTAACAAAAAATTGGGATTGGAACTTGGAGTTCTGACCCAAAAACTAGGGAAAAAGAAAAACAGGGTAATAGGAGTTCCGACCCAAGGGCCTACAACTTGGACTTTCGACCAAGGGCATTTCCACAAAATAAAAGAATTCAAAAAAAAAAAAAAAAGAAAAGCAAAGAGAGGACGTGAGTGTAAAATTCAGAACACATGGGATATTTTTTAAGGGGAAAAGTTTATATAGAGCCAAGGCTCTAAACAATCAAATTTGAGCCTACCTCAAATATTTCACTAAAATAAATTGTTTTGATGCCCAAATATCTTCAAATTGATCATCTCGATATCAAAATGCATGGAAATGAGAAAAAAATGGATTTCAAGGTTTAGAAATAGTGCATGTTATAAAGCATTTTTGGACTGTCAATTTTCAAGATTTTAAGTTTTCATAGATCTGTCGATCTACACTATTTTTTAAGCTTTAAACTTTATAAATAAATATAAAAATATATTTTAAAGCTATTACAAAGATTTCCCGTATTAAAACCACATTTCTCGACACTATTTGAAGGTAGGCTCTACTTTGATTGTTTAGAGCCTAGGCTCTATACAAACCGCACCCTTTTTTAAATAACGCAAAAAAAAAGGATATTAATGAAAACTTACCTTCTTATGAAATCACATCCAGAGTGCTTGCCTTGCACTAGTAAAATGTGATCAAACATCTTGTATCTCCCACATGGCTCTTTCATCCACAACCCCAGATTTTGGGTGGACCATTGATTAGATATGAGCGCGCACACCACGCACCACTCCAAGACCTTTGATCTTGCCCTTAAGCTATACTAGCAAAAAGCTTACTATCATGTTCACTAGGTCCTTCTCAGTCAAGTGCTAAATTTGATGGGCTTCAGTAGCAGGTAGAGGACTCGAATTTGGGGCTCTTTCTCTTCCCCATGGCCCTTAGTTCTAGCCAATGGATCCCCTACAGGCTTCTTCCCGCTTCAAGAGGCCTCTGCCAGGGAGACCCTCGCTCCCCGTTCTTGTTGGCCTTATGGTTTTCAGGCAAATCTATCTCAAGCATTTTCAAAAACAAAATGATCCAAGGCTTTAAATTGTCCCAAAGGGTAGCTTCTATCTCCCACCTTCGGTATGCAGATATCCCACCTTCAGTATGCAGATGACACCTAAACCTTCTGCCAAGTTAACCCCCCCAAAAGTCAACAACCTCTAGTTGTTCATTGGGTGCTTGAAGTTTCCACATGCAAGATTAATGTGGCTAAAAATAAATTATTGGGGTCAGTGCTGGCCAGAAGCAGTCTCAAAGTTGGCCAATATATTGGAGTACGACATTGACTCCTTTCCAAATAAGTCCTTGGGTCTTCTCCTTTGCATCGGCCAGCCGTGTAATGCTCAATTGGATGCTGTGGTTGACATTTTGAACACCGTCTAGCATCTTGGAAATGCAGATTCATGTCTCTAGGAGCAGAATCACCTACCTCAAAGAAACTCTCTCAAATATCCCTGTTTTTGGGATGTCACTCTTAGGAAGCCTACTGCTGAGGTCTATCATTTTGAGCAACTAATGAGACGTTCCTAGTGATCCTGAGTTGGTGGAGTACAAAAATTAAGTGGGACAAGGTTTATATATTGAAAAGAAACTCAGGTTGGGCATTAGATAGCTCATTGCATGTAGTACTGAGCTTCTTTGGCAAGTGGTGATGCCATGTCAGGAACAAAGAAGGCCACATGTGGCAGTAGGTTGCCAGCAGAGTTACAGAGTAGATAGCTTCAGTTAGCTTCCCAGGGGCTCTGCCAATGCAAATACCTCCAGAGCCTGGAAAGGATCGTATCATCTTAAACGGGGTTTGTCTCCAATATTCATTTCATGGCAAAAGCCAAGGAGAAGATTCAGCTGCGGCTGGACCTTTGGGTAGGAGAAGCTACTTTAGTTTCTCATTACGGAGGTTATTCTCACATGTAATGGCAGCTCAATACTATGAAAACACCCGAGGCCAGCTGGTCACCCTATTTTCAGGAGGAACCTTTCAGATTTGGAAAGACTTGAACTAGCATCTTTGGTGGACCTCCTAAGGAAACAACTCATCCCAAGAAAAAGGAGAGAGGATGGCCTGGCTCCCTGCCACTTCCGGGCCTTTCTCAGGGCCTCCTTACCTGGCTATCAGCAAAACTAACCAGGGGGGAAAGTGCCAGTTCATAGCCCCTACAACTTTGTTCTCCCCAGCTCCCCAAAGATAAAGGCCCTCAGTTGGCTAGTTCTATCCAAAAGAACCTCACAACCAGCTGCAGAGATGAGGTGAGGTGTCCAAATGCTTAACCATTGTGAAAAGTCTAAGGAGCCAAAGGAAACCACTGATCACCTCTTCGAAGATTGTTCATTCTCAGGCCGCATCTGGCCCTTCTAGCTCTAGCATTTTGGTTGGGTGCAGGTGATGCCCCAAACAATCAGGCAAACGTTTATAGAGACAATAGCCCCCGTTTCCTTCCTAGGCAGTGCTCCTAGGCAGTCATGGGGGTCCTGGCTGCCTAGGTCTGGGCGGCCTAGGTTGAAAAAGATGGGCAGGAGAATATGAGTAATACATCATAAAATATTAAAAAATTTAAAATCCAATAATCCCAAGTTCCAAACTATTGCAAATTTATAATAGACTACTAGCACAACCAAAAATAAAATATAATAGTAAATTAGTAATACAAGCACAATCCATAATCCATACTACATAGACCATACTCCATGCTCAATAGTCCATACCATTTCATAATCTATATTTCCATACAATGATACAATCATAGAGGCATACACTTAAAAGTAGAAACTAGAAAATAAGAAAAAGACAATTTACACTCGAGGACTCAAGAGTCTTCAGTCACCAAAAACAGTGGGGTACGCCTCATCATATGCATCAGAGTTGAGTCCATCACCATTAGAGTCATTTCCCTCTTCAACATAACACTCGTCCTCCTCTGTTTCTTCTAATTCTGCCTCTTCCTCCTCTTCTTCTACTCCCCTCTTGCTCTGTGTAGATGGACTAGAGACCTTAGGCATGTTGGCTACTCTACTTAGTACCTCTTCACCCTTTTTTTGCTTTTTGTGTTTTACTGAACTCATATATTGCTTAATCTCCTCCCTGATAGCTTCAAGAAATTTTTACAAAGGACAATATCCCCCCAATACCGGTAAGGTGTTTCTTGAACCGGTAAATACCCCATTAGTATCATTTCCACAATAATTACACCTTATATAATTTTTATCACTCGGATGCAAGTTATAACCATATTTCCAAACCCATATCACCACTTCTAGAAGAAACCCGAAGAAGACATTTCCATATAACAGGCTCCTTTCTTCCTTTTTTATTGTACCAAATTCAAATATTTTCTAATCTCATCCCCAATAGCTTCAGGAACTTTTTTACAAGAAGCAACATTTCCTTTAATACCAGTAAGGTGTCTCTTGAATCAATAAATACCCCCATTGCTATC